TTGACCCCTTCAACCATCTGTGGGCTCCTAGAGACCGAGTAACTGACCTGCTTGTATACGAATGCTCAGGATCTTTTTAATAAACTGGCTGAACTGAAAGATCGCCAAGCTTCCGGGTCATATGAGGTTACTGGTATCACCGTGACGTGGTTGCATCCGGGAATGACGGACGCTGAAGTTTCGCTACCGGGAATGTCGCAGATCCGGAACGACAGGCTCACAAAAGGAGGAGGGGTAATCCTGTATTACCGAAGCGACTTACAGTGAGAAGTCATGGAGGATTCAGACTCGCAGTTCCCCGACTCTCTTTGGTGCCGCCTGCAGTTAAAAGGCAGGGACGTTTGCCTTATTGTCTTGGTGTACCGCCCCCTAACTCTACGCCGGAAACCGACTGCCACCTAGCGGCTGCTGTAAGATGCAGTTTACAACAAAAGTACATTCACATATCATGAATGATTTCAACGTGCATGGTGTAGAAACTCCTGCCACGATCGGAGAACAATTTAAGGCCGATCTACAAGATATCGTAACCACTGTTCCTCCTTACATTCAGATCACTTTGCCCACTCGGTTCAGAACAGATAACAGGCCATCTGTGCTTGACCTTGTGCTTACCAATAAGAAGCATATGATTGATGTGTTGGTTTTAGACTTTCCGTTGGGTCGCAATGATCACGCCGTCATCAGTCACAACTTTGTTTGCTATGCGAAATAACGGAATGAGAACAATGAGACTGTGCGAACCATCACAAGCTACGAGCGATTATCCCAGATCGTCAGCACCACAACTTGGTCGTTCCTTGCCGAAGAACCCCCAGAAGTCGCCTGCCTCGAGTTTGACAACGAATTCAGTCAGCTGATTGTAGTGGCTTCAGAGATAAGAGCTAGCAATAAGTATACATCAGTTTCTTTCGTTAGGGGCACAACTCGAATATGGATAACAGTACGCAACGTAGCATAGCAAGTGTACAGAGAAGCTCCAGTACCAGAAACTTGGGATAACTACCTAGCCCAACGTAACCACTTCACTCAATTGCTAACAGAAGACAAAACCGCCTATCAGCAGAACATCGCAAAAACCTTCAATGTTAGCCACAAACTGCTGTACAAGCAGGTCAATAGCCTACAAAAGCTGAGGTAAGGATTTCTTCCACTCAGGATAGCTGATGACCCAACAAGAATGGCTGTGGAAGCGGTAAAGGCGCTGCGGATGCAATATGCCCCCATATTTCAGAAGGTATTGCCACCAAGCGACCTTCCAACCTTTGTCGTCTGCTCGCCAGGACTAACCCACATCACGTTTACAGCGGAGGCTGTATTGCAACAGCTGACGTCTTTACGCAAACACAGCTCACCGGGTGTCGACACCATTCGTCCAGAGACACTGGAAGCAGCAGCAAGCCAACTGGCAGGACCTTTAGCTCAGCTTTTCCAGCGCTACTTAGACCAGAATCAAGTTCCCGCTATGTGGAAGCTTGGAATAATAACCCCGATTCACAAAGGTGGAAGCAGAACTGATCTCTCCAACTACCGCCTAGTACCCCTTCTTACTATACTCTCCAATATCATGGAATCCATAGCTGCCGATGCACTGGTGTGCTGTCTGAAAAACTAACATCATCACGCCTGAGAAGCACGGTTTCCGTCGACAGCGGTCATGCGTAACGAATTTATTTCTCGCACGCAGTAGTTGGACCTAGGCGGCTGACGCTGGAGAAGGCATTGATGTGATCTACCTGGATCTTTCCAAGGCTTTCGATCGTCTAGACCATCGGATACTACTCTCCAAGCTCCGGCATTACGGGATCGGCGACCCTATTTTAAGCTAGATTGCCAACTTTCTACTTCAACAGCAATTAGGGGTCAGAGTTCGGAGCCCTTTGTCGGACCCCATACAAGTCTATTGTGGTGTGCCACAAGGCTCAGTTGTAGGTCCACGTTTGTTTTTGGTGTTTATTAATGATCTTGCACAAGGAGTCGCTTCCAACTTCCTAATGTTTGCCGACGATATCAAGATCTGGCGCAGGATCCAGGCAAACGTTGATCAGCATCTGCTTCAGAGTGACCTAGATAAGGTATATTCATGGCCATACCAAAACTTAATGCATTTTAACGTCAGTAAACACACGGTGCTTTCTATCCGACACCAGAGCAACTACTCATACCGGCTGGGAACGAATATACTGCAACATTCAGCTCTGGAACGTGGTTTAAGTGTCCTGGTTCAAGATGACTTGGGTTGCTCCAGACAGTCCGAAAGGCCTCGAAGACTGGAAACCAACACGCCGGGCTGTTGCGACGAGCGTTTGGAGAAATAAAAAGCTCCATATTTCGACAAATGCTCAATACGTATATTCGCCCCCATGTCGACTACGCGATTCAAGCCTGGCATCCATGGCTGAAACACGATATTAATGCACTGGAGTAGCCACGAGGTCGAGCATCTAAGAACGTGATTGGAATGCGCAATCTTTCATGCCAAGAGAGAGGCTGCAACGCTTGGATGTATTCAGTGGAAGCTATTGCAGACTACGAGGCGACCTGATTATGGCATACTTGATTCTGCGAGACCCACATCATGTGTGCCGCCCTTTACTGTGACTCAGCACCAATGCAACCCTGAGAGGCCACTCATTGAAACGCGCTGTACAGTATAGCCGCCTGGAGTGCCGCAGAAATTTCTTTTCCATTCGTGTCTGTCATCCGTGGAATGCTTTCCCAGAATCGGTCGTCTCTGCACCGGCACTAACAGTATTTAAAACACGGTTGGACGATGCACTCATGCACTTACACTTTGTCACTTAACACTACGTCTCCATCCTACAGCTGGACTTCACCATGGAATTATTTGATGTTGACTGTGAGTGCTGTAAATCTAAACGGATTGCAGGAATACGGTGGAGCAAAGGATAAGTCCTTATTTTCATATTTAATGTACTAACTCTTTTAATATCATTATTATCATTACGGTTATGTCGATATCCCCACCAACTATCCAACGAGACTTGTAAAGCAACGCTTTTTAACTCGTATAAATTCATTGTTCACTGTCCATTATTCTAATCTGTTGATTTGATGTAAATGGACAGGCTTTAAGAAATGGGGGTGCTGTCCTGTCCATGGACAGGATGAACTGCTTACGGAGACGATTTTCTGTTATTTGTTTTGCATCTCTCCGAACTGGTTGCGTGTTCATATGGTGTGAAAATAACATCCAACCCCAACTTCTTGCTCAGACTTTGTGGCAAATATGGAGGTAAGTTTACTAAAACTGCTCACCATTACCAATCATCCTTAGGGTGACTGTGGAAAGCTTTGGCGTACGTAAGCTAACTAGGATATAAGCGAGCTGAAATCGCGTGGTTGTTGTTGTTGTTAGCAGATTGTACCAGAGATTTATATACAAAGATGCTGGCGGATTTCGGCTGCTTGAGATGGGCAGCAAAATGCCGTTGCCTAACCATTCGCCATGTATATCTGGGTCGGATCTGGAGAGCTTTGTCCCTCCCGAACCACCTCAACAAACAAGGCCGATAAGTGGAAAAGTAATCCCCCTCCTTAATAACGTTGAACGAGTGGTTAACTCATTTTGAATCAGTTGTTGTTAAAATACTTGACGTTGTCATCGTTGCGAGTTTCAGGAGTCAGAGTATGGTCCCTCTAACGAAGTTGGAATGCGACGGAAAAGGGTCTAGTAGTCTAGGCCTATGAATCAGCGATGACGACTGACTTTTCAGCCACATAGACCGACAATTACCATCAGCAGAATCCCAGTATTGTTAATCGATCCGCTGAAACCGTTTAAATCAACGTTGTGTTTTCTAGAACACAAAGGTAGTACGCATTCTTTACTTTTCACTGCGTTGCCTAAAACTTTTAATAATACGTTTCGAAATGCAAAGGAATCGGAGTCCATCACTGAAGAGTGGAATAGCTGAAGTGAACACAAATAGCAATAGCCTCCATTTAATTAATAAAGAATCTTTTGAAGTCTCTTGTTCTATACATCTCGACCATCTGGGCAGTGAATAAATCTGTGTCCCTAACTACGTTTGTTCATCGATGAACAATTCGTTGGACACTGAATTTTTACGTTAGCAAGAATCCATCAGGCGGAGAGAGCTATTTTCTGGCCAAGCAAGTGGTCCGCATCCCTATGTTGTTGTATAGCTAGGGTCATCAAATTACACACGACGTAACTGCACTAAGCAGCTCTGATAGAGATAGTTACTACCTTGTCCTCATCCGCAAGACGTGAAACCAGTTCTAGGATGCGCCTAATGTTGGTAGCTGCGGCCCTTGAAGACCCTGCAGGACTGCCTATCAAGGTCTGGTAAGCATGTAACATAGCTCATGTGAGTGACTGATAGAAATCGCGGAAGCCTGTTAATCCGTGTTCAACAACCGGTGTTCTGCGTCTACATTGCAGCGTTTGATTATCCCGAACTACCTGCATACCATGGAGTACGTTCCTTGCACCTTAGCCGACCGTATAAATGTTTACCGTATTTTTCACTTGATTGGGAGATGCTACACAGCAACTGACCGACTGGCTGACAGTGAAGTAGTAATATGCCAGCCGAACAATCGGGCTGTGTCATAACTTCTCCTCTTCATAGAGAGCGATGGCGTGGTTTTCTATGAGTGCCCAAGACGCATTTATTAGATTGAAGGAATCCTAGTCTCTCGTCTCTTAGTGCTGGTGTGATATTCCTTTGATCGACAATTAGGCTTCACTATGTGCCTGTTTTAACTTTTCGTGCTTTTCCAATTCTGGTATCCTTTATTACAACCATGGTAAATTGGACTTATTGGATTGATTGCTCATAATTAGGTTTTTCCCACGCTTAACAACTTGCCATTATGATCAATACAACAAGTGGGTCAGTTGTAAGTCAACTTGAGGACACTCTGTTTAAAGTCTAAAAGGGGTGGTTATCTTTCTAAGTATTCATCCGAAAATGCAGCCACTTACTTCTTCGTCTCGTAACACTCCATAGGTCGACCGTCGGAAGTGGTGTGCGCCAAGATAGTGAAGAACGCTCAGAGGAATCTAGCGAACTTGATGTGATTCCTCCTTTGGATTGGGAAGACCAGCTAACTAGGAGCAACGTAAAGATAATCGATATGCCTCCCTCACCAGAAAAGCCTGTGAGTGCCATAAAAGTACTGCTGATTTATAAATGTGGTTGTAAAAGGACCTTATACAAAATGAAGACACCGTAAGAGAGTTTGGCGAGCGCTTTTTATCAGTATCACATTGTGTTCTCTTAAACTTGCGTGCCTTAACCATTATCGTTGCTTAGGATTTACCCGGGACTGGTACTATATTTAGTGAATAATACCAACACTCTGCTCCGTCACGTGGATGACTGTCACGATTACGATTCGTTCACAGGAAGACACCATTTCTGTTTTTTTGTTATCTTAAGGGTTTCCGTTGAATTCATACTACCGTGTAAAGCAGCGCCTACTTCAGCCTCCTGTCCGGCGTTAGGTCAAGTGATTTTGCCTCTAGCACTGTACGCTGTAAGTCAAATTCATGGATCATTGACAGCAACTTGTATATTTACTTACAGTCATCAGCTAAATTGATTGACATACAGGCGATTTCAGATGTCTGCCAATCATCGAGAGTACCACGTTGTAGCAGAAATCACCGATGCTTCGGTAAGCAGAAACGAACCCATTTATACGCTTGTTTGCTGAAGTAATTACTTGAGTGAATTGCGGTTAATGGGGCTCTTCAGCAGAGCAAATATCCCCATTTCAGGGAGAAAAGCAAGACCAAATGAGTGCTGGGTTAGATATTCCTTTTAAATAAAATCGCATCGGACCCTAACGTTTAAATGGCAGGGATTATATTTTATTAGCGTCAAAACATGCTGCGAACTTAATTCATTGGTTCTCGAAACAGTCAAATCAATAGCTTAGAACTAGGCCATAAATGGTTGGCAAAGTAAAAAGAGAAAGTGTTGCATAAAAGCTCGACAATACAACGTATTTAGTCCAGGTGACAACCAAGCGGTTAGATGACATTGTCGGTTGGCCAAGGTAGCAGTAATGGATGTGTGTAGCACTTTTGCACACAGTTCTGGTTTCAAATGGCGAGTGTATCTAGCCTCGGCAATGGGCGGGAACTGCTTTCAGAAACCTTGTGTGAAACGCTCCGGTGATGTGTACATGACTTTGATGTCATCTCCAGAGGCTCTGTAGCCAAGATCAAGGTATGACATACTGAGTTGTTTCAGAACCTCATCTCGCCTTTGTAGACTTTGGCCGGGATATGCTTGCCTTGTAGTACGCCTCACGTATCGTGCACCACCGGAGCACGAGTACTGATAACCGCGCATTGAGCGGGTCGGCGATGGTGGTCCATTCTTCGAGGGTTCTACAAGAAATGGCATGTCGTAATGAATAAGTCTCAGTCGGGTTGCGAAATAAGTCTTCTCTGCAACAGCTTGCAAGCGTCCGGATATGGCATCATCAGCAGAATCGCCCTTAAACTGAATGCGCATGAACAGTTCTTATTTAGGAGCAATGCAGTTAGGTGGTTTGCGTTTGTGTTCCCTCAAATTAACCGAGATAAATTTGTCTGGATAGCCATTTTCGCTCAGGGCGTCACTGATTCCCTGCAAATCTTCGTTGGTGGTATCCGGCGTGCAAATGCTGTGCGCTCTGAAGACGAGAGATACGACCATACTTATACTCTTCTACTCTAACTGATACTGCACTATAGATGCTCGTATATTGCCCAGTCCATGCATGCTTTTTGTGCAGCTTTTTACCGAGAGATGCGTCAGAGTTAAGGAGAACCTCACACATCCTGAAAAGCTAGTTGGTTTCCAAACAATTAACAAGGAACAATGAATTTATACGGGTTAAGAAGCAATACTTTGCATGGGGCCGTGTACCGTCCGTCGGTAAATATACAAATTTTATTTTATTTTTCATTTATGTCACGTTACGTGGTTTTGCAGGGTTATCAAAAAATAAAAAGCAGTAGATGCTTTACTTTTAAAAGAGGGACTTATCGTTTGTTTCGCTGCAGTACTGTCATCCTTGTAGTCTCACAGCACAAACATGTAATAGCAAATAAATCCAAGTATATCCCAGGAGTGGGATGGAGATGTAGTACTACCTAACAAAGTGTAGGTGAGTAAGAGAGTCATCCAGACGTCTTTTAAATATGGATAGTGATAGTGCAGAAATGACCTATTCTAGAGGAGCATTCTACGGGTGACACACGCGGACGGAAAAGAAGTTCCTGTGGCAATCCAGGTGGCTGTACTGTTCCGCCAGTGTTAGTGAGGGACCTGCTGCTGCTGAGTTGCAGTAAAGAGCGACAAACATGATGTGGATCGTGCAGAATTAAGTACACCATTATCAAGTCAACTTGTAAGTGACGGCATAGTCCGCTGAGTACCCACAATCGTTCCAGCCTCTCCTCATATGAATAATGGTGTATTCCAGTAACGTACTTCGATGCTCGGCATCGGGGCTGCTCCAATGCATTATGGTCGTGTTCCAGCCATGGGTGTCAGGCTTGAATTGCATGTTCTACATGAGGACCAACATAAGCACTAAACATCTGCCGGGAAATAGAGCTCTCTATTTATCCGAGCGCCCATCGTAATAGGCCCACATATTGGTTACCAGTATTTGAGGCTTTCCTGGATTGCATGGATTAACCCATATCATCCTGAACCAGTACGCTCAAATCACGTTCGGCGGCAGCTCGCTGTAGCACATGCGTCCCGAGCTTGTAACACTGGCTGCTCTAGTGTCGTATGGAGAGCACCTTGCATATACTCACATTGAATTGCAGTGAATTTTGGATAGACCACTGATGTACTGTGTCTAGATCACTCTGAGGCAGTTACTGGTCAGTATTCCCCTGCACTTTGCGCCAACTCTGAACATCATCGTCAAACAGCAGGAAATTAGATGTGCTTACCTGTGTGAGGTCACTGATAAATACCAAAAACAATCGGGGACTTAGCCCAGACCCTTGAGGCGCACCGCATTCAACTTGTATGAGGTCAGAGTAGGTGCTTCGAACTCTGACCACAAATTGTCGCTGAAAGAGGTAGTTGGCGATTCAGCTTAGAAGAGGGTCCCCGATCCCTTAACGCTGTATCTTGGAAAGAAGTATCCGCTGATTTAGACCGTCGAAGGCTTTCGAGAAATCTAGTTAAATCACACCAACATCCTCTCCAGCGTCAGCTGACTGGGTCCAGCCACTCTGCACTATTAACAAATTCGCTGTGCACGATCGATTTCAACGGAAGCCGCGCTGCTCAGAAATAATAAGGTTGAGTTTTCCGAATAATTCGCCAGCACATCGGCCATGATGGATTCCATCACCTTGGACAGTATAGGGAGGAGTGAAACTGGGAGGTACTTTGAAGCTTCGGTTCTGTTTCCATCTTTCTGCATGGGTGTTATTATTCCATGCTTCCACGTGGCGGGAACTTGCTTCTGCTCTAAGCAGCGCTGAAAGAACTAAGCCAGTGGCTCTATCAGTTGACTTGCTGTTACTCTCAGTGTCTCTGGGAGAGTAATATAGACACCCGGGGAGTTGTATTTGCCTAGAGCGGTCAGCTTCTGCACGACAGCTTCGGTGGTAAAGCAGATTTGAGTGTGTCCCGGCGGTGGGGCAATTAAAGCTGGAGGATCTCCTTATAGTACTACCCTCTGGAAGGTGGGCGTGTTGCATCCGCAGCGCTTTTACTGCTTCCTTAGCCGTTCGTGTTGGGTCATCAGCTGTCATGAGTGGCAGAACTCCTTGCCTCACCTTCCGTAGACCATTGCCGTACTTATACAGCAGTTTGTGATTGGCGCTGAAAGGCTATGCTAGGTTCCGCTGATGTGCGGCTTTATCCTATCTGAGCAGTTGCGTGCAGTGGTTTCGTTTGGCTACGTAGTTATCCCAGCTTTCTTCTATTGGAGTAATCTCGCCACGCTGCGTTGCGTAGTGCCAGCAATGCTCGCTTTTTGCTGCTTACGTAAGTACCACTTTCAGACCATTTACGAACTTTTGTCTCAAAAGCCAGCCGATTGCATTTGTTTACGAACTCGGGTCAGGAAACATACGGGAGGTCTTCGACAATGAACGACCAGGTTGTGGCACTGACGAAGTGGGCTACTCGGCTGCACCACGTAATGGTTCGCGCCGTTTCATGGTCCTCGTCTCGATATTCTGCATAACAGATGAAGTTGAAACTAATAACTGCATGATAACTGCGACCTAATGGGCAGGCTACAACCAAGGCATCAGTCATATGTGCTTCGTTGGTAAGCACAAGCTCAAGCACAGCTGGTCTAATTTCTGTTCCAAACCGAGTGGGCTAAGTATTAGCGTTATACACATTATCTGCAGGTGGAAAACACCTCAGCCATTGTACCGCAATACAAAAGACAAGATGAAGAAAAAGGCAGCGGCACGAAGACTGAGTCCCTAGTAACGCATGAACATCGTTCCGGAGAGTTAACAGCCGGCTATCCTGCCGCAAACAGTTAATTATGCTTAACAGAGTAGGTCGTGTTTGGAGGGGAGGCTAAGCAGGAGGGGGATGGACAAAGGAATCCACTAGACAAATGCCATTGGGGCCGGCTCCTAGACATATCAACAAGTGTATACAATCAAACGTGTTCATCGTCCTTAGTACCCGAGCCAGGCAGTCGGCATTCAACAACCGACGCTAACTTCGAAGTGAAGGTTTTCATTTTGCTCGACCAAGTCGTCGCTTAGCCTCTCCTCTTGCTCTTCCAACCGCACCCACAACGCACAAACAATGCACGTCGCGGGAATCGGTGTGCTGGCATGCGCAACACTTGGCTCAGCCATCAGAGCCTGGTGCGGGATATAACGGTGCTGAGCGGTTCACTCGCGCTTCCTGCATTAAATACGCGACGCCGAACACGCTTATTGCTCACGCGGTGCTCCCACCAGACATGAGCTAGGCTGCGAAGGTAGCGATGATCGAATGTAAGGAGCCTCTTTATATCTGTCGACCTGATGGACCAGGTTTCCCAGCCATATAGGAGAGTTGAACGGACGGCTGCGTTATAAACTCTGCCCTTCAGGATGAGAGTAATGGCGCGTCTGCGCCACATGTGGCGTAGATTGGCAAAAGCACCTTGAGCTT